TTATACTTATTATCTTGTAAACAATTGGCAAATCAAATAAATAAATAAAAATAAATAAATAAAACTCCCAGAGTTCCTGAGCCAGCAAAGCTGGCTCAGGAACTCTGGGAATTGGAGTCCACCAGTCTTACCAGTCCACCACGCTGAGCGCAGCGCGCAAGCAAAGCCACCCAAACGGCCGGGGAGAAGCGCGCAGAAAGGCGGTGAGAGGGCGCTCCAGGGCCGGACTGAGAGAGGCTGCCCGTCCTGCACCGGGTCCTCCCGGGTCGCTGGGAGGCAGGCGAGCGCCCGGCCGGCCCTGGAGAAGGAGCCGCGGCACGGAGGAGGAGGAGGAGGAAGCGGAGGCGCCGGAGCCCGCTCGCCATGCCGTACGCCAACCAGCCCACCGTGCGCATCACGGAGCTGAGCGACGACAACGTCAAGTTCATCATCGAGAACACCGACCTGGCGTGAGCAGCGGTGGCCGCCCTCGGTCCCCGGGAGAAGCCCCTCGGAGGCGCTTCCTCCATCCCGTCCCCCGTTGCCCTCGCTTGCCCAGACCCGGGGACGGATAGACGGGGCGGGGGGCGGGGGAGGTCTGCACGGCCAGGCGGTCTGGACACGCGGGTCTTTCCCACTCCCACCCGGGCGTGGGGAGATGCAGCGTGGGGTGGAAGAGAGACGCGTGGGAGGCACGCGGGTCCTTCCCTTCCACCCACACTTGGGAGGAGATCCGGTGATGGACAGCTGGTCTGGACGCGCGGGTCTTTCCCACGCCCACCCGCGCGAGGGGAGATGCAAGCCAAGGCTAACTGGGCTGGACACGCGGGTTTCCTCTCCCCCTGCACCAACCTATGGTGGGGGGAGATCCAGTTATGGACAGCTGGTCTGGACACGCGGGTCTTTCCCACTCCCACCCCCGCGAGGGGAGATGCAAGCCAAGGCTAACTGGGCTGGACACGTGGGTTTCCTCTCCCCCCCCCAACCTATGGTGGGGGGAGATCCAGTTATGGACAGCTGGTCTGGACACGTGGGTCTTTCCCATTCCCACTCGTGCGCGTGGGGATATCCAGCATGGAGTGGGAGATCCGTGGGGTTGAAGGGAGACACGCAGGTCCTTCCCTCCCACCAGGGTGTGGGGAGATCCAGCCACGGCCAGCTGGTCTGGGCACACAGGGGTCCTTCCCTCCCACCTGGGCATGGGGGGCGATCCAGCAGGGGGTGAAAGGAAAACACCTTCCCTCCCACCCGGAGATCCAGCCACGGCCAGCCTGCCTGGAAACGTGGGTCCTTCCACCCAGGCGTGGGGAGATGCAGTGTGGGGTGAAAGGGAGACATACATGTGGGGAGATCCACCACGCCAGCTGGTTGTGGGCAGGCGTGTCTTTCCTCCACCCACCCACCCACCCACTTAGACTTAACAACTGACTTGTTTAGCAATGGAAATTTTGGACTCAATTGTGGTTTGAATATTTCGAACTGTTACCATCAGGGAGACGTTATAGGTGCCTTAAAATGAGGACTAATAGACTGAGAAACAGTTTCTTTTCCAAGGCAATAATTGTCTTGAATCAAACAATGCATATGTGGTTTAGCCCTATGTATATAGTGGCATTTTTAAACTATCTAACTTACTATATGTTTTAGATAGGTTTTAGACTAGGTTTTTAATTATTATTTTAATTATTTTAATTTTTAAATACTCTGAAGTGCGATTGTAATGTGGTGTTTGGGACACTGTGCTGGAGTAGCTTTCAAATTTCATTGTATTTGTAGAATGCAATGACAATAAAGCTATTCTATTCTAAGGCCATGATGGCAAACCTATGGCACACATGCCACAGGGGGCACACAGTCCTATTTGTGCTGGCACATGAGCCCCAGGCAAACTTACCTTTGCGCACCTCCAAGCTGATTTTCGGGGCTTTTTCGGCCTCCCAGAGGCTCGAGGGAAGCCTCTGCAGCCTTTGGAGGCTGAAAAACAGGCCTGTTTTGTCACTTCCTGTATTTCCGGAAATATTGGAAGTGATGAAACGGGCCCATTTTTCGATCTCCGAAGGCTGCAGAGGCTTCTCTCGAGCCTCTGGGAGGCTGAAAAAGGACCAAAAATCAGCTGGGAGGTGCGTGCATGCGCAGTGCTGGTAAGGGGGCATGGGGGTTCATGCGCGCACACGAGCAAGCATGCACACAATTTTCAGCACAGGAGCCCAAAAAGGTTAGCCACCATTGTCCTAAGGGAAGAGCTTACCTGTATTGCAATGGACCCTATACATGGGACTGCCCTTGAAGGCCAGCAGTCAAGCTGCAAATGGTTTCGCGTGGAGGTTTTTTGGGGGGGAGGGGGGCTGGTTGCTCCCTCCAGCAGGACCCACCGCTTTCTCAAACTTGGCAACTTTAAATCAGATAGATTTCAACACCCAGAATTGCCCCACCAGCATGGGAAATTATGGTTCATCGTCCAGTCGGCCAGATACTCAAACTGGATTTGGAATTGTTATCCACCTATCGAGTCCTTCTTAAGAACTGAGATAATTATTACAACTATTGCAATTTAACTATTGCAATATTGTAAATATTGTGTTGTTGTTTTTTTTAATTCCAGAGTCGCAAATTCCATCAGGAGGGTATTCATAGCAGAAGTTCCTATCATAGGTAAAATCCCCCGGCATTTATCACGTTTTCTCATTCGTTCACTTTCCCTTTGCGTTAATCTGGGAAGAAAATTCCTTGTGTTTACTTAATTCTTATTTTGTTTTCAGCTATAGACTGGGTTCAGATTGATGCCAATTCATCAGTGCTGCACGATGAGTTCATCGCACACCGATTAGGTGGGTAATCCTAAAACAGAAGAAAAAAGCCTTTTTTTTTTCTCTTTTGCACATTTTTATTTTGTTTTATTCAGAAAATGAATATTTAAAAAATTACAAAAATAAAACAGAAGGAAAAAGCATCTCTAGGAATTCTTTAAATCCGTATTGGCAACTTTAAGATACGTGGACTTCAACTCCCAGAATTCCCCAGCCAGCTCTGCATAATTCTGGGAATTGATGTCCACATACCTTAAAGTTGGCAAGGTTGAGAAACACCAATATAGATTAAACTAAAAGAATTGCTATTTGCACATGTTCTGCCAGATAGTTCTGACTGGATTGGAACTTTTGACTGTTTTTCATCCTCAATTTCTCTCCCCTTAGGCCTGATCCCTCTTACCAGCGATGGAGTAGTTGATAAACTACAATATTCCAGGGTGAGTCTAACTAAGCCAGCGATAAATTATATTTCTGAAGGATCACTGTGAGGAAGGAGTTAAAGATGGAGGATCAAAATTCCTGTTTCAATTCTGTGAGTCAGTTGTGAAGCCTCTGAATGTAAATCACGTGAGCATGAGATGCAGCAATGGTCATAAGGGTGAGAAATGTTCGTAAGCCCCTTTCTTCAGTGCCGTTGTAACTTCGAATGGTCACGAAGTGAACTGATTAGTTGAGGACGACCTGTATTTTGCTCCACTTATAGAGGGCATCTGACCCAGAGTGGTGCGGTGGCCTAGAGGTGGAGCCCTCGCCTCGCAATCAGGAGGCTGTGAGTTCGATCCTAGGCAGAGGCAGATCTTTCTCTCTCTGGGCACAATGAGAATATATCTGCCGAACAAAACTCCGCATTGGTGACAGGTAGGGCATCCAGCCAGTAAACACTCTGCTCCATTCAGTTGCCCAGACTCCATCTTGCAAGGGATTATGGGGTCATTAAAAGATGATGATGATGATGATGGAGAACATCTGACCATGGCCAGTGCAAATTCAATCCAGTGTTTGGGTTAGTTTAGAGGCCTGACAGTCCCTGGGTGAGTTGAGCTTCAGAAGGACCCCTCATCCTTCCTGTCTCCCCCTTTTTACCAGGACTGCAACTGTGATGAATTTTGTCCCGATTGTTCGGTGGAGTTCTCTCTCGATGTCCGGTGTAATGAAGACCAGACACGGCATGTCACATCTCGGGACCTGATCTCCAACAACTCCCAAGTTATACCGGTCAGTGTATCCTGTTCTCTGTCTCCACACCACAGTTGGGTCAAGACACAAGCAGGGCCGAGATTCCAAGGAAGCAAATTGATGGTCACAAGGGACTATTGACAGACTCTAGAGCCGTGATGGCGAACCTATGGCACACATGCCACAGGTGGCACACAGAGCCATTTGTGCGAGCACGCAAGCCCCAGCCAAATTTACCTGCACTGCGCATGCACGTGCCTCTCACTTGCTTTTCAGCCGGATTGAGGCCTTTTTTGGCCTCCCAGAGGCTCGAGGGGAGTCTCTGCAGCCTTTGGAGGCTGAAAAACAGGCCCGTTTTGTCACTTCCGGTATTTGGAGGCCTGTTTTTCGGCCTCCAAAGGCTGCAGAGGCTTCCTTTGAGTCTCTGGGAGGCCGAAAAAGGCCTCAAACGGGCCAAAACAGTGCAAGTAAGGGGGCAATGGGGGGGGAGGTTGTTGCACGCACATGTGCAGGGGAGACAGGGCACATTGCATTGTGGGTGCTGGCACATGCGCACGCACACTTTCGGCACACCACAACAAAAAGGTTCGCCATCACTGCTCTAGAGAGCTGGTTCAGAAACTCTTGCTTCTTTCGAAGGACAAAGTGTGATATTTGTTGTTATTTATTATAGTTATTTGTCCAAAACTACTGCATATTCAAATGTCATGAGTTGAACTGTCAGACCTGCTTCAGCTTAGGTGTCTAAGTAAAAATGATCCTTACCTCCACTTGTTGATAAAGGTATCGTTTACTAAAAGTCAAGCGAATTACAGCAGTTCAAATCCAGAAGTAAGCTTGCGTGTAAAAAATTTCCCAGTTAACTTTCCTTCCTTAGTGCCTTCCCATTGCTTGCTCTCACCATCCAATCAATTTAAAAGAGATGTTTTGGAAACAGTCACACTCCATGTGTGGCATTGTTCTCTCAAGGAAATGACCTTGAAAACTTCGTAGGTTTTCAAAGAGAAATATTCCATTCATTTTCCTCCAAGCCTTTGCCATCCTTTCCACCCCCCAGGGTTCATGGCAGACTAGCAGTAGGGTGGCACTTCTGGCAGAACTGCCAACATTTTTCTGAAGAGGAGAAGTCTTCATTCCTTGTCCTACCTTTCCTTTGTCCTCTGCAGGTGACATCCAGGAGAAGGGACAACGACCCCAATGACTACGTTGAACCAGATGGTACGTTCCCAAACATGGCTGGCCTGGGGAATTCTGGGAGTTGAACTCCACAAGTCTTAAAGTTGCCAAGTTTGGAGAGATTCCTGCTTTAGGCAGAAGGAGCATTCTGGCAGATCTATGAGCCATCACTTGAGTATCAGATACCACAGCTGCAGTTGGGAATAAGAGCATTGGATGGCTATAAGAAGTTTGAGCAGATGATGGAGGTGGCGATCAAGGAAGGTATTGGGGTGGGAAGACTTTTCTGGCCAAGACATCCAATATCTTTCTTGCCTTATAGCAATAAGACTTATATACCACTTCATAGTTCTTTACAGCCCTCTCTAAGCGGTTTACAAAGTCAGCCTCTTGCCCCCAACAATCTGGGTTCTCATTTTACCAACCTCGGAAGGATGGAAGGCTGAGCCAATCTTGAGCCGGTCACAATCGAGCTTCTGGCAGTGGGCAGAGTTAGTTTGCAATATTGTATTCTTAACCACTGTGCCACTACGGCGGATGGATGGATGGACGAATAGATGATGGATGGATGGATGGATGGGCGGGCAGGCAGGCAGATAGATATGGTAGATAGATGAGATTAAATTAGATTATAGATAGATAGGCAGGCAGGCAGGCAGACATAGAGATAGATAGTAATAGCACATAGGTTTATATACTGCTTCACAGTACTTTACAGCCCCTCTGTAAGTGGTTTACAGAGTCAGCCTCTTGCCCCCAACAACCTGGGTCCTCATTTTATCCACCTCAGAAGGATGGAAGGCTGAGTCAACCTTAAGCGAGTCAGGATTGAACTGCTGACAGTCGGCAGAATTGCATTCTAATCACTGCGCATGATGGATGAATGGATGGATGGATGGATGGATGGAAGGAAGGAAGGAAGGAAGGAAGGAAGGAAGGAAGGAAGGAAAATAGCAATAGCGCTTAGACTTATATACCGCTTCATAGTGTTTCATAGCCCTCTCTAAACGGTTTACAGAATCAGCGTATTGCCCCCAACAATCTGGGTCCTCATTTTTACTCACCTCGGAAGGATGGAAGGCTGAGCCAACTTTGAGCCAGTCAGGATCAAACTCCATTCTGTGAGCAGAGTTAGCTTCCAGTACTGCATTCTTCATTTATGGGTACCCATCACTATTTGAATAAGCGCCCAGTCCCACAAGACGCACCGTTCTTTTTTTTTTTTAGACATCCTGATTGTCAAGTTACGGAAAGGCCAAGAACTAAGGCTCCGGGCCTATGCCACGAAGGGTTTTGGCAAGGAGCATGCCAAGTGGAACCCCACAGCGGGCGTGGCCTTTGAGTACGATCCAGACAACGCCCTGCGTCATACAGTCTACCCCAAGCCCGAGGAATGGTAGGTGTTCTGACCCAGCTCCCCCCAATCACAACCAATCCTCTGAAATGAACTCAAAAGATTCCTTTAATTAGGAGCGCCAGCAGCTTTGGCAAAAAGTTTCACTGCAGGCTAACAAGTCTGTCCGGCCAGAAGATGAATGGTCGTCTGCCACATCTATTCATCTTCACTCCCTTCCTTTTATTCCCCAGAGCTAGGGTGGAGCTTCGCTAGCAGCAGTGGGTTTTCTGCCTAAGGACCAGCCCATAGATTTCCACTACTCTCCTCTCCTCTGCCATCTGTGCATCAGGCACTGGCCCACAGCTGTTCCTCCCCTTCCTCATCAGCCCCCTCCAGACCTGGGGATTGTTGACTCTCCATCTCAGGACTGACGGACGGTCCAGGGTCTCTCTCTTTGCTAGCTCCATTCCCTCTTCCCCCTTGGAGCTCTCAGGTTGTCCTGTTGCTGACTCCCATGCTTTATTGTTGTTTTTGTTTGGTCATTCAGGTGCTTCTGTCTTTGGTGACCTGAAAAACATACTTTCCTCCAAGACTGTCTTATCAGTACCTGCCTCTTTGAGTTTCTCTAAGGTCATTTTGTGATCGGTGGTAGCATCTCATCCTCTTGACTTCTGACATCCTGTTTTCTGAAATGCCTTTGATGTTTTTCAAGCATCTTCTCTAGGGATATTTAACTTCACACCTCAAGGTCAACTCTTGTGTTTCTGTCTCCTTCTAGGCCGAAGAGCGAATATTCTGAAATTGATGAAGATGAAGCCCAGGCACCTTATGATCCCAACGGGAAGCCAGAAAGGTGAGCGATCGGGGAACCTGAACTAGATTTTGCTCCAACTGGAACTCAGCTGCCACTCATTAGGGTGATGGCATGCTCCGACCTCCCCTGAAATCAATACAGTACTTGGTTCACACTTCAGTTGAACCCATGTTTTGTTTCAATCCTGGCTTGTTAAACACCATAATTAATGGTGCAGAAGAGAATGAAAACAGAAGAGAATGAAAACAATAGAAGAGAAGAAGATAATAGGAGAATACAGAAAATAGGAAAAATAGAAAACAGAAAAACTAGAATGGAGAACAGTAAGAATAGAGTAGAGTAGAATAGAATAGAATTAGAATTAGAATTAGAATAGAATAGAATAGAATAGAATAGAATAGAAAACAGAACAGAACAGAACAGAACAGAACAGAAAGACTGGAACGGAATAGAGATTGGAATGGAATGGAATAGAAACTGTAGTGTCACTTTAAATATACATTAATCAGCACGTCAACTAAAAAATACTTTTTTGGTCTTTTTAGTTGCCGGTAGAAAGGGAGTGGGGAAAAGTAGTGCATTCCTGAAATGCTTCAGATAATTGCTAGGCAGCTCGAAGCTGTTGGCGTGCAAGATTATTACTGGAGAGCATGATTGATGACTCTTGGCTATGGATGTGTCCCATTGGAGAATATACATCCAGGAGGTGGAGGGAAGACTTATTATTTGAATGGGGGTGGATTTGTTGGAGCCCTGACACATATATTAAAATAAAAATTAGTTGCATTCATCTCTCAAAAGATAACCATTATGCGTATACCCACATACACATGTATGACACAGAGAAACATCACAGTCTAGTTCAGATGTATACCTATACATGGCAACACACAAAAAAGAACCCTGCGAATTTACACAATGGATGGCTTAAGGCAGGGGTCTCCAACCTTGGCAACTTTAAGACTTGTGGACTTCAACTCCCAGAGTTCCTCAGCCAGCTTTGCTGGCTGAGGAACTCTGGGAGTTGAAGTCCATAAGTCTTAAAGTTGCCAAGGTTGGAGACCCCTGGCTTAAGGGACCAAGATATTAACGCAATCTAGCAGTCCCTTGGGAATCTCCTCCCAGAGAGAACACCGTAATAATGGATCAATTGCCAGGAGCCCCTCCCCCTGAATGGTCCATTCAGGGGCACATGATCCGTGCAATAATTACATTAATAAAACCACAGATTATGAATCCCATGCGCCAGGCTTGAATTGTGGGTCCAATTAAGGTTCTCCAACCTTTTTATCCCCACTCAGGTTTTACTACAACGTAGAATCCTGCGGTTCTCTGCGTCCCGAGACCATCGTTCTCTCCGCCTTATCTGGATTAAAGAAGAAGTTGAGCGATCTCCAAACTCAGCTGAGTCAAGTGATCCAGAACGAAGTGCTGACTATCAACTGATCCTACTGGGCCGCTTGAAAACAACCCTGATTTCTGGGAAACGATAAAAGGCAGCCGAGATCACAGGAGGGCCCGATTTGCTCAGCGGAAACTACTCTGCCTCCAAATCCGATACCCGTTGGTGCTTTTCTCTTGCTAACCCTTTGGGTCAAAACAGGCTTTCTTCCGAATCGGCGTTTTTTTTTTCCAACCTGAAACCATTTTTAAGATATTGGGACTTCAAATCCCAGAATTTCCTAGACTGTAACGCCATGTTGGCTGAGGAATGCTGGGAGTTGAACTGTATCCATCTTAAGAGTTGTTGAGAAACGCTCTTCTAAATTGCATTGAGCATTCTCTAACAAAATATTGGCCTTAGGTCAGAGGTGCCCAACCTTGGCAAATTTAAGGCTTGTGGACTTCCAACTCCCAAGATACCTCAGCTAGCCGTGCTGGCTGAGGAATTTTGGGAGTTGAAGTCCACAAATCTTAAGTTGACACGGTTTGACACCCCTGGTCTAGAAGATCCCCTGCCTTGGAAGTAGGAATATGCAGCTTGAGAATAAAACCGCCAACCTTATCTCTTGTTTCCTGTTTTGTTTTTGTTTTTTGTCTCTTTTGAGATCTTGAATGAAAGATCTCCAGTTTGAGGAAAGTCCGTGTTATACAACAGATGTTTGTTTACACAAAATAAAAATAAATTCTGCTTTGAGAAAGGTGTCTGCAGTTTTATTTTTATTTCTCTTCCAGCTCAGAACATACTCCAGAGTTTAATAGAATCTGCTGCAAGGGTATAGAATCTCTTCCCTGTTAATTACACTTTAAACAAAATGGCTTCCTTTCCTCAGCCTCAATTTTGACACAGAGCAGAGACAGTTGTTTTATGGATCAGGTAAAACCATAGGTATATGAACCTAGGACTGGCAGTTCTCTACTTATAAACATTCATTTAGTCACCATTTGAAGTTACAGCGGCACAGAATCAGAATAGAGCTGGAAGGGACCTTGGAGGTCTTCTAGTCCTGCCCCCTGCACAAGCAGGAGAACCTATACCATTTTAGGCAAGTGATTGTCCAGTCTCTTCTGAAAAACCAAAAAATGAATAAAAGTGACTTAATGGCCAGGGGTTTTTTTGCAGCATCCCCATGGTCATTTATTCGTTTTTATTTATTTTATATGTTTGTCAAACGTACAAGATAACAAGTATAGGTATGAACATAAACATGAACAAAGGAAATAAATACAGATAAATTGGGACAGTAAGACAAGGTCGATAGGCACGCTAGTGCGTTTATGCACGCCCTCTTTAAGGACCTCTTAGGAATGGGGTGAGGTCAACGGGATAGTTTGAGGTTGAAACTCTGGTGTTTTTTTTTTATCATGCGATCAAAATTCAGACATTTGGCAACCGTCTCATATTTACAATGGCTGCAGTGTCCTGGGGTCATGTGATCATGTGTTTTGCGATATTCTGTTCTGACCCAAACCCTTGTCCAATAAAACCAACACGAACCAAAGGGAACAAAAACCTTTTAATGAGTCTTACGAATCCCCGGTTAAAGCGCTGCTGCAAACTAATTAACTTTGATAAGCACGAGCCTCGCCAAAACTGTGCAAGGCTGCCAAGAATAACAGATAAGGTTACCTACAGATATTGTACAACACAAGAGTCTTCAATACCAACTAAGATACTGCAATGTCCATGAGGCTCGAGTTTCAAAACATCTTTGCTTCCTGAAAAGAACGTCCGATTCACAGCTGGCTCATCTTCTTGAAGATAAGAAGGCCATTACCTTGCAGCCTTACTCCCGAGTCACCTGTGCTGCTGCAGCTGATCTTTCCTGTGAGCAATCCTGCATGCACGTGCACTGGGCACAGGCTCCTCGGGGACCTCTTCATCACTGCTGCCAGCCCCCACAATCTCTGAAGGCAGCAGTTCACTCCCTAATGGTCCTGGCCCCTCATCTGAGTCCTCGCTCTCCTCAGCCATCCCCACCTGCTGCCGGTTAACCACAATATATTCTGACAAGCAAAGTCCATGGGGAAGCCAGATTCCCTTAACAAGTCTGCTACTAATTTAACAACTGCAGTAATCAAAGTTCAGTAACACTTAAGTAGTTTGGGACAGGGCTCTCCAACCTGAGCGACTTTAAGACTTGTGGCTTTGCTGGCTGAGGAATTCTGGGAGTTGAAGTCCACAAGTCTTAAAGGTGCTGAGGTTGGAGACCCCTGGTTTGGGAGGAATGAAGGAAAAAGTCTGAGCATCACGGCCGTAGCGCATCTCTCTTGGTGATAGGCACAAAGGTTTGGATAGCTATATACACAAAACTGCCATGCTAAAAGTAACCACTGGGTGGCACCAGGCACTTGTGGATGAAAATAATGTCTTTAGTCTATGGCAGAATTTGAAGTAGATACTAATATTAGTAAGACTGCTAAGGTCACAAGCGAACTACCTGCAGTTAGGAACATCTCTTGCAATAACCAGGCACAGCAGCCACTCACTCCCAAGTTTGCAAAAGCTAGGAAACTATTATTAAAGCAAATGTTTTGTTGGAAATACCAGATAAAGTACTATCAGAAATTCCAATCACCCAAAGATAATGAGTTCTAGTTCTGCCTTAGGCTTGAAAGCCAGTTGGGTGACTTTGGACCAGTCCCTCTGTTTCAACCCAACCCACCTCACAGGGTTGTTATGGGGGGGAAAAGAGAATGGAGGACAACTTAGGCTTGTTCACAACCTTGAGTAACTTATAAAGTAATAAAAGGTGGGATAAAAGTTTGATCAAACAATAAAATACCTCTTGGTAGGAATTCTTTTTTGATTCTTCACTCCTCAGCATGGAGTGGAAAGCATGAGAAGGCAGGGAGGTTGCATACTGTCAAAGAAATGATACCGTGTTTCCCCGAAAATAAGACCCTGTCTTATATTTTTTTTTGCCACAAAAAAAAGGCACCAGGTCTTATTTTCGGGGGATGTCATCCAATGACTAACCTCACTTGCGCGCGTCGCCCCTAGCTTCCTTTTCACTGTCAGAGGCTTTCAGGAACAACTTCTTCTGCGGCCAGCAAGGCTTTCCTGAAGGCCTCAGCAGCCAATAACAAGCTCTGGATCGATCCAGAGCTTGGTTATCAGAACAGGGGCCTTCAGGAAAGCGTTGCCAGCCTTTCCAGCTGCAGAAGAAATGGGCCGGCAAGGCAGGTGTTGGGGTGTGTGAGGCCAGGTTACAACTGTCCAAAGGTAAGTAGTAGGGCAGCTCCACCCATCCCCTATCCCCACCCTAGCTTAATTTTTACCTGTGCTCTCTGGAGTGGCATGGGCTTATTTTGGGGGGTAGGGCTTATATTGGGATCACATGTAAAAATCAAGCTAGGGCTTACTTTCAGGGTAGGTCGTATTTTCAGGGAAACGGGGTAGTGTAGACAAAGACAAGTTATTCATATTCATATTCACACACACACACATACACACACCCCTTTAGCCCATTAAGTACTGAACAAAGTTTAGAATACCACCTGGGAAAATGCATGCAAAATAATCTCCTCTCCTTTGAGTAAAGATGTTCAGAGCTTCCTCCCTTTCATCGAATTCCATGAGAACTTTTTGTAGAGGACGAGCGTTCTCGCTGTGCAAATTTCTCTACAAATACACTGTCCCTCCCTTGTGCCTTGGGCCTCCAAAGTCCTGAATCCTGCTGGAGCATTACCCTGCGCAACACCTGTAAGTTGCTGACTGCAGCAACACAGCTAAGAGTGAGAAACACATTTCAGCCTGAAGCCATCTTCCTCATAACCTTGGCAAAAGGGTGCCAGCCCGTTTCCATGGTCCTACGTGCCTTACCTGGGCATAGGCCGTACATAAAAGTTCTTATTGTCTTTGAGCTATAGGGTTGAGGAGAACATTAGAAACCTGAGTTGAGAAGGCAAGTATCAATATTTGAAGGTAGACGTGTCTTTTTGAGAAGGAATGTTCTGTGTCTCGTATTCTAAGCTGATGGTTCGGATGGTTTCAAATATAGGGGGGAAAAAACCTTTGAAATGTGTGTTTGTTATTATGGTCAAGTGATCAAAGTTAAATCTATATACTACTAAAATAACAGTGTTAGAAGGGATCTTGGAGGTCTTCCAGCCCAACCCCCTACTCAAGCAAGAGACCCTATACCAGTGGTGGGATTCAAAAATTTTTACTACCAGTTCTGTGGCCGTGGCTTGGTGGGCGTGGGAGGGAAAGGATACTGTAAAATTTCCCACTCCCTTCCCACTCCTGGGGAAAGGTTACTGCAAAATCCCCATCCCCGCCCCACTAGCCTGCTTTCCAGCTCCGTTCTCCTGTGCAGGGCAACCAAAGGAGACCCAGCCGATCAGCTGGGACTCAATGGGAGGCAGAGAATGGATGGGGTTGGCAGGGCCAGTCAGAGGTGGGATTTGCCGGTTCTCCAAACTACTCAAAATTTCCGCTACCAGTTCTCCAAAACTGGCCAGAACCTGCTGAATTCACCACCTCTGCCCTATACCACTCCGAACAAGTGGCTGTCCAGTCTCTTCTTAAAAGCCTCCAGTGATAGAAGGACCGACAACTTCTGAAGGCAAGCCGTTCCACTGGCGAACTGTTCTCACTGTTAGGAAATTGCAGTGGGATTTTTCAGTTAACTTGTTTCAAAAAACTACTTTTTCCTAGTAGTCTTTGCGCTTCGTTTTTATCCGTTTCTAACCATGGTTCTGAGTGGTTGCCCTGGGCATGTTTTTGTTAAAGGGGTAGGATGTTTTATTAGCTGCTTTTGGAAAATTACACATACACATAAGAAATCCACAGGGATCCAACCTTCTCGGGAAAAGTTCTAAAAAGGAGCTTTTCCAGCCAATCTCAGAACTGGGTGATTTTAAATTTGCAGTCAAGGTTTTTTGAAACTTTTTTAAAAAAATTAAAATTCAGGTTGCATTCCCCCCAAGGCAATGCTTTGTTATGTCATTGTTATCATTAACGTTCTTTTTGATTGTTTTTAAGGTGGATTTTTGACAGTTTTGGAATGCCCTCTGGAGTGACGTTTGCAATTAGGTGGCCTATAAATTGAAAATACAGATAGTCCTTGACTTAGGACCACAATGGAGTCTGTTGCTAAGTGAGACCTTTGTTCAGTGAGGTTTGCCCCATTTTACATGACCATAGGGATGTCGCAATGGTCATTAAGTGTGAAAAACAGTCATACGTCAATTTTTTTCAGTGCCGTTGCAACTTCAAATGGTCAGTAAACGATCTGTTGTAAGTTGGGGACTACCTATTTTTCTCTGGATCACCCCTTGGTCAATTTTGAAGCTGGGAATACTGAAATTGTTAGGTAAGGTTCCCCTCCCAATTCAGCCTCCCAAGACCTGGTTCTCCCCCGCAACACCCAATTTCCCCCCAAAACATGGGCAGTTTTAAGTTTTATTATTTAGTTTACTTTATTGTCATTGCACCTTGTA